AAATAATAGGACATTTTAATAAAAATTAATATTTTTTATTGAACATTAACTTACCAGACACTGAATAACTGCACAAATTAATAAGCATAACGCAAATAAACCTATTTTTCTTGTTCTTCGAAAGTGAAATATTTCCTGTTGCGCACACCAAACAAGTCAGTCCAAGACTAATGACGTGGCCATCGGCTGCTAAAATATTCGCCACTAGTATTAGTGGAGAGAAATAGTGCGCCTGTGCATAAGGCGCTTAAGGGAAATGAATGCGACACGATGATAGTAATCAGTCATTAGTGAACATTGTAGTTCATTATTAATATGTATAACAGGATATTATAAAAATTAAGTTAGGAAATTTTTATCAAAACGTTTCTGACATACCATTATATTGGCTGGGCCGCAAAAATACTCGTTGTGGGCCACGGGTTTGACATGCTTGCTCTAGGCTGCTCACCTGGCTTGGCAGCAGCTCCACATTTACCTATTTTCTCATCAAATGCATCTCATGTTCACACCAAAAAAAAGGTGGAAGTAAAAATTCTTCCAAAAGGAGTGGGATCGAGGGAAGGAATCAAAGAGAAGGAAAATGCTTGAAAAAGATCCCCCACTCCCCTCAGAGCATAAACCTCTTTCTCTGGCCTCCGGCCTGCGAGGCCGTTCCCTGTGCTGGGATGGGTGTGCCGTCTCCATGCAGACCAATGAGATGAGCAGCCCCCACCCCCAGGTACAGGGCAGAGGGGGCCCTGTGAGCCCCCACCGGCCTCAGCTGCCTCCCACCATCGATTCTTGGAGCTTTGCACCATGTCCAGATCACCTTCGCAGGCTCGCACGGGCACAGAGCAGGTGTTCGGTGAACAGAGCTGCCCTGCGACGCCCAAGAATGGCATCCATGCCAGTGACGGGTGCCTGGGCACACCATGGTGGCGTGGTTTTGCCCCCAGAAAGCTTCCAGCTTGGAAGGTCAGGGCCCTCCCAGGAGCTGTGGGAGCTCAGAGGGGGAGGAGGTGACCACCAAGGGACTCGGGACGCTCCGGACACCAGCCTGTCCATCCAGCAGTGAACCGGGGCATGGCCAGCTGAGGCGACTTCCTAAACCTCCTCCTCATTAGTGGACACTCAGTTGTACTCAGAGGGCCAGGCCACCGCCCCAGGCCCCCCCTCACCTGCGGGGTTGGGAGCTGCCCTCCCCCAGCGCTTGCTTGCAGCTGGTGCCCGGGGTCCTGAGTGTGCCCCTCTCTCCTCCACAGCTTCACAGTGAGGTGGAGAAGCCCCTGATGAACTTCCGGGAGAACTTCAAGAAAGACATGAAAAAGTGTGACCACCACATCGCCGACCTCCGCAAGCAGCTTGCCAGCCGCTACGCCGCAGTGGAGAAGGTGAGGGGCCGGGGATGCTGGGCCGGTGGAGGGGGGCCTCCTGGAAGAGGGTGGGCTGAGCGGGGTAAGTGAGGGGGGTGGTGGGGTCACCAGCCCACACCTGAGGAACCTGCCTCCCCCCAAAGAGCAGATGGGCGCTCTTCCCCATGGCACTGCCCAGAGGGCCGGTGGAAGCAGGCGAGGCTGCATCTGCAGTGGGAAATCAGTGGGCTCCACCCAGTCCCTGAGACGAGGTGCATACAGCCATGGTCTCCTGGGATGTGGAGCCTGGATGTGCTGCTGGTCTACGCGTGTCCCTTTGTCTGGGCCTCGCCTGGCAGATTCTCTCCTGACGGAATCACCCCCTCCCAGAAGCCTATGAGGGCTAAGCTGGTGGCAGCTGCTGATGGCCCCTGGAAGGGAGGGAGCTGTCCCCGGGGCTGACCACAGGACTTAGGGTGCGGGAGAAGGGGGAGCGCACGGCTGCAGGCACCCTAGACGGCCAGCTGCTGCCCCCAAGGACCCGTCCTGACCCAGACTAAGCACTGCTGGAGGTGACGTGGATGACCCTGTGCTCGCCCCCCACCCCACCCCACCCCCAGGCTGTGATTTTAGGGCTGTCTGCAAGTGCACACTCCATCAGACTTGGCCTGAGGCTTGCTGTAGGCCAAGTGCAGTGAGAGACGGGATGAGAGAGAGGGTCGCAGGCTCAGCACAGTGACTGGGCGGCCCAGTGATGCTAGTCTAGCTGAGTCTCCTAGGGCCATGATGGCATCATCCACACGAACAGGGAAAAGAAAGGACTCATGTAGAAACGGGGAGGCTGTCCACGTGACCGCGGGCCCCTCCTGGCTCTGAGCCCCGTGAGCAGCGCTTCCGCGTCCTTGGCCCCCAGGCCCGGAAAGCGCTCACGGAGCGGCAGAGGGACCTGGAGATGAAGACCCAGCAGCTGGAGATCAAGCTGAGCAACAAGACGGAGGAGGACATCAAGAAGGCCCGGAGGAAGTCCACGCAGGCCGGTGAGTGGGCCACGCCCAGGTGTGGGCACCTGGTCGGGGAGGCCCAGCAGGGGGAGCTGGGGGAGGGATGCCCGGAAGGTGCATCCCACTGGTTGGGGGCCGGGGGCTGTGGCGTGGGAGCGGGCTAGGCTGCCTCCAGGCCTGGCTCTCTGACCGGGAAGTGGTTACTCCTCCATGGCCCGGAACTGTGGGGCCCTGTCACTGCGGGGAGCCCCTGGAAGTACAGACTGCACCCCAGCAGTCTCCCGAGGCTCACCTATGGAGATGGGCGCCCGCCCCAGTCAGCAGCTGACATTTTTCATGAAATAACCACATTTCAGATTCTCCCTGAAAGATGCTTCCAGTGCATTGGTCTCTGCTTCCACCTAGTGGTAAATATGAGCTAATGCCCAAGGAGCGGGGAGAAAAGCCAGATAGAACCAGTGAAAACTTACCAGATATTCCTTTAAAGAAGTTTCACTGCGTGCAAGGACAGGGCATGGTGCTTTCTGAGGCCGGAAGGTGTGACATAGGGTTAGGGTTCAGATCAGATGGTCTAGTGCAGTGATGGCGAACCTTTTGAGCTCGGCGTGTCAGCATTTTGAAAAAACCCTAACTTAACTCTGGTGCCGTGTCACATACAGAAATTTTTTGATATTTGCAACCATAGTAAAACAAAGACTTATATTTTTGATATTTATTTTATATATTTAAATGCCATTTAACAAAGAAAAATCAACCAAGAAAATGAGTTCGCGTGTCACCTCTGACACGCGTGTCATAGGTTTGCCATCACTGGTCTAGGACCTGGATTCTAGGTCCCTTCCACTCAGCTTCTGCTAAACCTCATACAGTCAACTCATTGTGGAACGAAGCAGCCATGGACATTTTGAAATAAGATGGTGTAAAATAAGTCAATAACAAATAATAGAAACATACCCAGAAATAGAAGGCATTATATGCTTACTGTGATTGGGCAGGGAAAGCTCGGGCAAGGAAAGGCATATTTAAATTCCTGTAATTAGTTAAGTTATTAAATAAAATTACATTATAAAATCAATATCTTTGCTTGGGGAAAAAAATTTAATCAGCACATAAGAATATAAAATCTTAATTTGCCAAATTAATCACCATCAATACGTCCTAGTTTTTTTAATGTTTTCAGTGTTTATAATGTTTATATTTAAATGTCTACACGTTAGGTCATATACTCTATGTTCCGAAGTTATATTTTAACTGGTATGCCTTAGAGCTAGCTCTATTCCATTACCCATACACTCAATTATCCAGCCATTCATGTACATCAGACTTTTATTTTCTTTGTCATCTAAGTATTTATTTCATTATCATTTTAATAAAATAAAATTATTTCTTAGTTTGTGACTATTAGGTACATTTCTGGGAAATTTTTCCATTAAATATAACTTATTTATATTTAAAAATTATAAACTAAAGCCCCATAAAATAAAATAAAAAGTTTAGGAAAATGCAAGCAGCAGCACACAGTCAAGCCATAGTATCAGCAGCCAGAGGTCTCAGTGGGCACGCACTTGCAGTGGCATATCGACCTTTTCCCTTCCAGTTCGTTTTTCTTGGGCTCAAGGGCCCAGTCCTTGACCTTGGACCAGGAGCACAATGAACAAAGCCCTTGATTTGGTTCTGTTACTCAAGGTCATCTCCCAGCTAGTGGTGTGGTTCAGGTGGAAGGGAGCCAGGCCCTGGGTCGTGTGCACGTTTGCCTTCACCTTCACACGAGAATGACAAGGTGATGTCACAGGAATAACTTCTAATCCACTCCCAGTACTAGACTTAAAGCATAAACTAGTTAGCTTTGACTGGCTCGAGTTTTTCCCATCATGAGCAAAGACCGTGATGCCGTCCTCCCTGGAACCCTGTGATGATCTAAACTACACATAGACCAAGTCATGCACTCAGGGGGTGCACGTGGACCACCTGAGCATCTTGTGAAAGTGCAGTTCTGATTCGCCAGGTGTCGCGTCGTCCTGAGTGCTGCATTCTGGCAGGCTCCCAGGGCATATGACGCTGCGGGTCTGGGAGCCGTGTTTTGTGTAGCAACGTTCTGGGGTGCTGGTACCTTCGGCATGTTTGCTGTTACCTTATAGGTTGTTTTCTTTCTAATTACAAAACGTTTCAAACGTACCTGTGATTGCAGAAAACAGTGTAGTAGCATCAAGATTGAATAGTGATGTCTGTTTCTGAGCTCTTATGAAATAAAATGCTACGGAAAGAGCCCCTCTCCTCCCACCCCGCCTTTCTGTCTCCATGCCAACGCAGTGCTGGGGTCGGTGGGTAGGGCTCGGTGCATAATTCCATGCCATTACTGCACATGGATGAGCCATACACCGGCAGACACATTATTTTGTATTTCAGCATGGCATCCTGCTGCATGTACACACACACACACACACACACACACACACACACACACAACGGACATAATTTGCAAATTTTTCTTCTTTAACTCTTAACGAGTACCAAGCTGCTTGTGACATTTTTTAACCCAAAAGGACTCTCCAATGTGAAGTGAAGCTACCGTCTTTAGAGAGGAAGCATGTCTTTGGCTGGTGATAGGTTGGGAGGTCCTAGGAGTAACCCCCTCCCCACTTCACCCCACACACTGAGAAACCTCCATCCTGACTTCTCGGTGCCTGGGGTCAGGTTCGGTTGGGCACTGAAGCTGGTCTCTTGTGGTGCCGGGTGTCTTCCGCTTTTCACTCCCGCCCCCACTTTCCACTGGCCCACGACCCCAAGGAGAGGAGAGGGCACGGCTGTGGGGTGCAATGGCAGAGGGCAGCCACAGCAAGGACAGACAGGGTGTGACGGCCGCCTTGGCCTCTTCCAGGAGATGACCTCATGCGCTGCGTGGACCTCTACAACCAGGCCCAGTCCAAGTGGTTTGAAGAGATGGTGACCACCACGCTGGTGAGTGCCCCGAGATGTGTGAGCATGCCGGTTCCGTGCCCGCACTCAGGGCGCCCTGGGTGGTAGAGTGAGGTGACTGTGGAAGTAGGCATTATGTCTGCTCACATTGGGGTCCAGACCTCGCCTCTGGGTGAGTCCAAGCTCATCCATACCCTTGCTCTGGCCCTTCCTAGCTGTGTAAACACGGGGGAGGGTTGGCTGTGCCCTGAGGGGTCAGGTTCAACTGAGGAACCCCCCAACGAGTTGTCAGTGGCCCCTTTAGGACAAATAGCCAAGTTGCAGGATGCGTGACCCTCTCATCCCCAGAGGAGTTTCAGCTCCTACAGGGGAGATCCTGGCAGTGGGTGAAGGGTGAGGCTGGGAGCTGTGTAGGGGGAGCGGGGGTGGCCCCCGATCAGGGGCCTGAGGGATCGGCATCAGAGCCCTTCTCTTGCCTTCTCGAGATTTTCCTGTGAAGGGGCAGCACCTCCTCCTCGGTCAGCACTGGCCGCGGTGAGATGTGGTGGGCACGTGGGCACATGGGTCATTGGGCCAGAGGAGAAAGGAGGAGCATGCCAGCTGCTGATCACGTTGCCCCGTTGCCAAAGCCACGCCCGTCCGCACCGGAGTGACCTGCTTTCCTCCTGCTTAATCCCCTAACGGAGCCCCCTGCCTTACCCTCCCTGGGTAATCACCGGGGCAGTGACCTAGTTATGCAAGAACAACAGCCTGAGCCTCTCAATTCCAAAGATGCGGAACCACCTAGAAACCAAAGGACAGACCTTTCCACTCTTCTTCCCTTTGACAGTGACCACCCCACCCCCGGCCCCTGCCTCCCCCGGCCTGGTCTCGGGTCTGTCCCTCAGCACTCGGGGTGGACAGAGGACAGAGGCCCAGGGAGGCACGGGCACCCCGCATGCGTCCCATCTCTCCACCCCCGGGAACCAGAGCCGGGTCTGCACTGGTGCAGAATCATGAGTCAGACCACAGCAGTCCGGGTTCAAATCTCGCTCCTCCCATAATTCCATGTCGCTATGGGCAGGTGAAGTTCCCTCTCTGGATGTTCATTCCCTTGTTTGGAAAATGCAGACAAGAACAGAGCCTGTCTCTTCAGATTATTATGAGCACGATTAGGCAAGGCCTGTAACGCTCCAGCACCCACCCGCCCGGCAGGGCAGGGTCCAGGCGGCAGTAGCTGCTGTGTCAGCATCCGCACCTGCACCGCTAGATGTGGGACCAGTTCCTCATCAGACCCCGAAGGGTCAGGTGGGACCGGCCTAAGCAGCGGCGACGTGTGTGCGAGGGTGGTCTGGGCCCGTGTGGTGGGAAGGACATGTCACATGTGTCTGCGTTTCCTCCTGTGCAGGAGCTGGAGCGGCTGGAGGTGGAGAGGGTGGAGATGATCCGGCAGCACCTGTGCCAGTACACACAGCTGCGGCACGAGACAGACATGTTCAACCAAAGCGTGAGTTCCCCGCCCCAGGCGGAGGCCCCAGGACCCCGGGGGGACCACTGTTCTGTGGCAGGTGAAGTGGTCACTACAGATGAACCTGAGTGGGCGGTGGGCAGCCTGGGGACGGGCCTGCAGGGTGTCCTGCCACCCATGGGAACCCATCCCAAACGCAGGAGTGGATACAGCGCACGTTTCCCCAGGACAAAGCTCATGGTAGTTAAACAGCTGAAGACGATATTGCCTGCCTCAGTGAATCTCTTACCAAAAAGATAAAAGAACTAGGACTATGCAGAATATCTAAAGCTACAATGTCGATATTGCCTGCCTCAGTGAATCTCTTACCAAAAAGAAAAGAACTAGAACTCTGCAGAATATCTAAAGCTACAATGCATTTGCCCTGTTCTGTGGTGGTAACCGTGGGAGCGAAGGGTGGAACTGCTCTCAGACCTGGAGCCCTTGAGCCACTCCTCCCTGTCATCCAGCCTGCGGTCCGGAGGGTCAAGTGCTCGAGTGAGAAGCAGGGGGGGACGAGAGGTCCCGGCTCCCGCTCTCCCAGCGTCTGCACGTCCGCCCCTCACGGGCCTCCCCTGGGGCTCCCAACCCTCTGAGAGGCTGCTGTGACAGCAGAGAGGCGGGCAGCCTGGCTCTGAGGCCGGGTCCCGGGCGCTGCTGCCCCTGACGGTGTCCTCTCTTCTCCATCCCTTGCAGACAGTCGAGCCTGTGGACCAGCTGCTTCGAAAAGTGGACCCAGCCAAAGACAGGGAGCTGTGGGTCAGAGAGCACAAGACGGGCAACATCCGCCCTGTGGACATGGAGATCTAGGCGGGCACACGCGGCCCCCGGGGTCCTGCCAAGGAGAGGGGCCAGGGGGCCCATGGAGAGGAGGTGGTGGGTCCCGCTGCCAAGTGGAGCTGCCCTCCCCCCCACTCTCCTGCCCACTGAGGAGAGGGGAGGGTGAGGGCTGCAGCCAGCGATTCCAGAAGGGCGGCCTGGCGGCCTCGCTGGGAGGTCCCCGTGTTCCCAGGCCAAGAAGGTGGATCCACAGCCCCGCCCTTGTCTCTGAGGCCGAAGACCCCCAACTCCCATGTTGTGCTTGCCGTTCCGGGAACAAACTGAAGCTGGAACTTTGTGGTCCCTGCTGAGCACCGTAGGGTCATCTCCCCGCCCAGAGCCAGCTGCGTCCCATGCTCGTGCCCCTGGAAGCCCCGAGGTCCTTCCTCCAGCTGGCCCTCTGGTCTCCAGGGAGGTCTCTGTCTCCAAGGCCCAGTGTCAGATCGCCGTCGTGGACGGAAGGCAGCGTTCAACAGCCCGCACTCAGAATCCTTTGCAGCCTTCCTTCCTTATTTTTTCCCCGTTGCATTCTGGGAGTCCACATCCTGGCTCTTCCCTGTCTCTGTTCATGATCAAGAGTCTTGGGAAGAAGGCCTCGCTGCCACCTTCCCAGACTGACCCTGCCTGGAGAGGTCAGGATGGAACTACCTCATCAGCAAATCAGCCCTCAGTCATAGTGCTGAGTTGGGTTCCCCAGTAGATCAGGCATCCTCTGCAAAGTCTCTCCCAGAATCCCCAGCCCCCCGACCTGCAGATGCCCTCCTCCCATCCCCACCCCTCTCCACACTGTAAACGGGGCTGGGTCAGTCCCACGTGGGAGACAGTCTGGGGCAAGTCTTTGTCACCGTCCCCCCCTCCCCCCCGATGGCTCCCCTTGCTTGCATATGGCAGCATTGGGACCACTGTCCCTCGTGTGGCTTCCTGTCAGTGGTGGTCACTGTACAGGCATCGAAGGCTAACATGGCCACAGTAGGTTGTCGCCTACTGGGCAGCGTCTCGCCACCGTGGCCTCTCGGCAACTCCTGCACAGTCCAGAGCCCAGCATCAGGCCCTGCCTGGGGGTGGTGCCACCTTCCCTTTCTTCATCTCCCAATGGCTCGTAAAACCTGGTCTGCGTGTGACGTAGGAAGCTTTCAGGGCTGCAGTCGGGTCCTTGCCCATCATGTGCTCCTCTTCCTGACCCCAGCAAACATGTTCTCCGTCATGTTAAGTCCTGAGAATCAGTTCGAAAGGACCAGAGGAAGGAAAGGGAGCTGAAGGAGGAAGTGCAGCTAGCCAGGGGCAACCCACGCCCTGAGAACCAACCCATCTTTCTTACTTAATCCTCCCCATCGATTACTTTGGATTTACAGGATCCATATATTCCCAAGAGCGTGGAATTCTAGGAGCACAACTCACTGGTCTTTCAGTCTTACGTATCGGATGATGTATTAACTTTGAATCTTTCGGTACCTCTTTCATTGAGTCAGACCGCTCTCTCACAGTTTATGGTAGAAAGATGCTGAATATACTAAAGCCAACCAAACCTTGTCCCTTCTCTTACGGAAGCATCCCAACCAGAAAGCTCAGTGTGAAGGCCTTGTCCAACCTGAATCTGCCCACTGCATGGAGAACCCCTCCCGGCTCTGCGATGGGGCCATGACACCAGCCACCGGTTTCAGGGTATCCGCTCTCGGTTTCTTTATTAAAAACAGGTGCAAGTAGGAACTGCTTTGTGGCTTAGCAGAGTAATTTGTGGATGATATTCAGCTATTCAAAGCCAATGGCCGTGTTATGAACACATCTTTTGAGTGGATATGCTCAGTGAGTTTGCCTTCTCGCTTCTCTCTGAGGGTCCTAGTCTTCTGCTCCTCCCTGGGACAGAGCGAGCTCTCCTGCCTCTTCTGGGGTAGCCTGAGCTGGCCCCGTGTGGGCCAGTCTGTCTGATGAAGTGATTCTTTCCTCCTCATCCCCTCACCTCAGTCTCGGTAGCTTTTTCACCTACTTTTTCTCTGTTTTTCTTCCCTCTCTTATTCATTCATCAAGCATTTAACTGAAGACAAGTGATGTGCTAAGATCTGAGGGCAAGGTATGGGCTTATTTTCTGTGATTGTGTATAGACATCTTTTCTCCAGGGTTCTTGCAGGTTAGTGACCTTGGCGTTCACATACAGGTACGCTGTAGACCTTGGGTTTTCAGGGATACTGTCTGTTGTGCTGATCTGCATTCATTTATTCAGCAGATCCTTGGGACAAGCCAGGCACTCTTGCCCGCCCCTCTATTCCCCATGTAGACAGAGGTATTTGGACCTTTCTGGAGAATGAGAACATTTAACCTACTACATTTAACCCACTGGGAATCTGTAATTATAGTACAAACTACCGTCATACGGCATTTACCCAATTGGTGGGAGATAGACAGCAACAAGGCTCAGTGCCCTAGTCACTAGACTCCCAGCCCATATCCAACTTGAATATCTGAGATTTCTTTTTTCTGTTTTGTTTTGTTAATCTTCACCGGAGGATATTTCTTTCCATTGATTTTTAAAGAGAGTGGAAGGGACAGGGAGAGACAGAGAGAGAAAAATATCGATGTGAGAGAGACACATTGATTGGTTGCCTCCCGCACGTGCCCCAACCAGGGCCAGGGATGGAACCTGCAACCAAGGTACATGCCCTTGACTGGAATCGAACTCAGGACACTTCAGTCCACAGGCTGATGTGCTAACCACTGAGCAATTGGTTAGGTCTGAGATTTCTTTTTTGTTTTAAATAACTCCTCACTTTACAAAGAGGATGAAGCCTAAGCATGGCCAGTGAAAGTAATACTGAATTAAGAGCAGAGCTGGAGTCGACAGTCCAGGCCCCCTGTCCTTGTCCCCACCCCCACCACCCACCTCCGCAGTCTGGGTGAAGGCAGGATCAGGATGAAGTCTAGAGCATCTAAAACTCCACTTCAGGGTAGCAAACACTCTATCTGGTCATTGTTTTGCGTTTATGTTCTGGTGTTTAGGTTGTAAGAGGATTTGACGGGGTTTATTCAGAAGGGTGAGTGAGTGAGTCTGGGTTTTTCTTGAGCGCCTCTATTGTTCATTTCTGAAAACAAGTGAGCCCCTTCTACCTGCCTTCACTTAGTTTTGTCTGTGAAAACTGATTTTTTAAAAAAATTCACTATGACAAACTGTCTTGCCATGACAACCTCCAGGAAAAGCCACTGGTTCCTCTCCGTTTTTTTCTAGTGTTTTGATCAGTATTGCAAAGCCCTGGCAACTGAACCACACACAGGAGTGGCTGTCCTGAGGGAGGTTCTGCCGCGGGGTGCCTGGGCCTCCTCTCTACCTCTACCCAGCGCCCAGGGGGCGGGAGGATTCCGCAGCAGGAGGCACGTCTCTGCTCAGCGCTGAAGGCCACAGAAGCCACCGATTTCATGAACCAGGGATTTGTTTCCATTCCCTGTGTGAAACCCGATCAATGACTAGGTTAGTGGATGGGTGCAGAAAGCTCTTGTTTCCCCAAGTCCCTTCTGAGAAACACAAGCCATAAAATTCAAAGGAGTCAAAGACCTCCGCTGGGTTCAGTGATTCTGCTTCCAGCTGTGAGAGGCCTTGACACGGAGCAGAGCGTCTGCACAGGATCCCGCAGACCTGCTGGTTACTGTGTCGGCAGGGAGCGCACTTTGCAAATGCTACGTGGAGTGCAGATGGCTGCGTGCTTACTTGGCCAGCACCCCAACGTACTCCCCTGGTCCTTCCCACCCCATGGGACACCCTGCCTTTTCTTTTTCCAGGTTTATTGAGGTATTTGATACACAGTATGGGGGTTTATTGACATACAGTAAAATTCACCCTTTTGAAGTATATTGGTTCTGTGAATTTTGACAAACTTATCCAGCCTTGTAACCACCTCTAAAATCAACACAATATTTCCGTCACTCCACAAACTCCCCCAGAGCCCCGGCGTCCATCCACTCCCCCCACCCCAAGCCCTTGGCAGCCACGGATTAGTTTGCTGACCTTAGAGTTTGTCTTTTCTAGAAGGTTGTATAAATGGAGTCACACTGTGTAGCCTTTGGGTGATTGAGTCAGTTGGTGGTGTTGACTCAGCCTGTTTGCGTGGCTACTTCCAGCCCAAGGCTCCTTCTCCAAATGCCAGCTGTGCCCAGAGGTAGTTCTGGGGGCTCACACTGGCCTTTTTGGTTCATGTCAGGATTAGACAATGCAGAAGGTTGCCAGGGATTGGGCGGAGGGGTGGCGGGGTCTGGGCTGCCTCTCACTTCTGCTGTGCCCTGAAGCTTGCATCTCAACTAGCAGGTCCCCTCTCTCCTGGGGACCCTCAAGTCTGCTCAGCTTGCGCAGTCCTTGGCATTGAGCATTGGGGGGAAAGCAAATGGGCGTAGCATGGATGAGAAGGCAGGGACCTGGCCTTGGGCTCCTCACCACCCTTTCCTGGATCTGCTTCATCTGCAAACCGAGGGTATTATTCTAGAAGGTCCCAGGCCTTCTGCAGTCACTGCATCCTGTCTTCCCACTAGTCGTTCCCAATTCTGTACCCTGTGCACATGGCCACAGCTAATCTGGGTCCCATCAGCGCAGTAGTGCGTGGTGTTACCTAAACTCCTCACGAGAGGGGCACCCTGCATTTCTCCATTTAGATACAAATGAAGCGACAAAAGTTTCGTGAGCTATTGAGTGAGGGCATTCCTCCGTAGGACCCCCAAGGTGACGTGTCTTGATCTTGGCCGGCTCAGCGACAGGTGCGCCCTGGGAGGCAGCCAGGCCCGCTCTCCAAGCAAACTGCTGAACACACCTGAGCCCAGGCCGGGCCAGCGCGAGCCCCACAGGCTCCCGTGCTAGAGCCGAGGTCTGCGCCACTGGGAGGCCCTGGGCTGCATCTTGCCAGGGAGGACTCCTCACCCCCACCCCGACCCCCACCCCTAGGAGTCCTATTTCTGTCTGGCCTGTCTTGAAGGGAGGGACCCAACTCCTGCGGCTGCAGGTTGGGGTGAGACTAAGACAAGTGACAGAGCATGTTCCCCTCCCCCTCACCATCTAGACACTGGGCCGGGCTCTCGGGCGCCTCCGCTGGGAGGTGCCTCTGAGGGAGAGGGGCTGTGACCACCTCTGACCTCTCTGGGCGCTGTTCAGGGGACACTGACCCTTTGTGTTTCAGGGAGATTCCCGATGGGATTGCAAGGGTGAAAGCAAAGGGTCCCGCACATGGGTGCTCTACTGGGCACATGGGTGCTCTACAGAGGTTCCAGGGGCAAGAGCACTGGACTGGCCGCTCTTCTGTCTCATTTGTCCCATGACCTGAAGTCACTTCCCCTCCTGGGACCTCTGTGGACCCATCTGTCAACGGAGACGCTCCCTTCCAGCGTCATATACAGCAGCCTGGCTCTAGGGAGCCGTGGCCTCTGGGCGGCCATGTGGACCCGGGGACAGACATTCAAAGGGACCCC